TGTTTCACAGTTACCAACTAATGAAGACTATCTACATTGCTCTTTTGGGAAACAGTCAAATCACCTATTCAATTAACCCTTCATAGTGTACGCAAAGAAGCCCAAAATGAAGAACATTTGAGACTTAAAAAGTATAACGCTATCATATATAAGCCTGACAAGCTGTTACCAATAATCTTGGGAGTGCTTACTCGGTGTTCCTTTTACCCGGCATTGCAGAACAACGCTCTGCGTCTCAGACACTGTGATGTCCTTAGGAGCCTCAAGGATTACCGGCGGACTCATGGGCTGTACAACAGGTTCAGGGGGCACTGGCGAAAGATGAAAATAGATGAAAGCATAAAATGGGCACAATATTATTGCAACTAATCATCCAAATGAAGTTTTAAAATAACAAGAATCCCGGCAAGATACGTTTCTATTTAATATTGGCTAACCTAGTAATATGCGATACTTCTAGGATTTCATATAAAGCCCATCCATCTACTATTGATAGTACAAGTTCACTTACTGTCTCTAGATATGCTAGCAGGAGAATTATTTATCTACCAGCGTACCTAACACTTCTTCACCCTCAAAATGGTTTCCTATTCTCTTTAGATATTCTATCGAGAATCAAATACAGATAGCACAAATAAAATGGGAAGCTGCACCTATCACAAATATTTGAAGATCAAAACCTGCTTACCTTGTCTAAACTTCGAGCTATAGACTATGAAAAAGAATAGCAACATGTGTACGTAGTGGTACTTCTGTTTAGAATATTAATCTCACTGGTTGTGTGGAAGAGACAAAATCAGATCTACCAAGAAGTTAGCTCAGAGGAGTATATACAGTTCAAAGAAGCTACATTGGTTGCTCTGCTTTGTCTGGAGTGGCTAAGGATAGTGAAATTTACTCAGAAAGCCAGAGATTCCCTCCAGCTTCACTGTAGAGAGGCAACGTTAGGTTAAATGAAGCATCCAGCAATGAATTCTGTCTCCTAAGTGAGACTCAATCATAAAATAGTGACGTGCCTTAAGTTGGAAAGACTTTCATTTTATGTAAAAGTGCATTATGAAGAGATTCGTTCGTTGAGCTCGCCTGAGGACGATGGCCGATTCCAGCTGTTCTCAGCCGTTTGGAGTTACTACGGAGTTCACGAAACATCTCCCCCGGTTTCGGGTGAAACCGGGCTAACCTCTCGTCCACCATATGATGAACATCATCAGAGCTGGAACTCATTTTTGTAAAAGTCTCAAATTAATACTAGGTACTCATACTACACTTTCCTAGGGAATGAAAGTCTCCCCAACAATGGCATCTTGAGAGATTCATCGGAACCTAGTTACTCTTCGTATCTACAATGTGCTTTTTATTTTCTACCTACTAGAATGGGCCCTGAAGGTTAAATAACGCATATAAACGATTAAATTTGCCAGACTGGGTCTTACATTCAACCACAATCTGTGCAGCACACACAGCCTGTCCGTGCGGGTTGGTTGCAATACACTTGTACAGACCGGCATCCTCAGGCCGTGTCTCACAGAGCAGAAGAGTGTGGAAAGGTGGTTCGTCAAATCTGCGCAAGTAAGAGGCCTCAGTCGGTTGAATGAGCTGACCGTTACGTTCCCATTTCACTTCAGGCAAAGGCTCTCCGATCACCTGAAAAAGTGCGAAACAACTCTGGCACATTAGGAGGGTTGTACAAGTGGGTACAAAGTTTACTTGTATAAAGATGCAGATTAATTTGTATTTGATGTGCTTCGTGGCTAACCGAATATGCATAGCTTCGACTTTCTACACATTAGTATCAAATATTTACATCATTTTATCCAGTCCTGGCTATCTGTGAGACTAATATATCAGACTTAATAAACTTATTTCTATGCTGAATAAAAGAGTATGTTGAAAGACTTTGAAGGTCGATCTCAACAGAAGACAATGAGGGATTAATGTAGACCCAATATTCGATACATTCTCTTTAGGCTTCTGTAAAAAGAAAAAAGATTTCGCCTGACATAGACATCATCCGAGCTACGTTTCAGCTTTAAACCAACCTCAATCTAGTTAAATTTGAATGAAGTAGGCTAATTAATTTCAAAATCAAGCGATTTATTTGAAAAAAACTTTGCTTTGTACATCAGATTTGCACCAATGCCATGTTCTAAGCTTTCTGAGCAGCTCGATATTTGCCTGATCGCTTATAGACTGGAGAGACTTAAATGACTCAAGCATATTTTAAGTCATTTTAAAAGTCGAAATTTACGCCAAATTAAATTTATGACTAAAATTCTGAATAAAACTCTTTAAAAAGCCTACCTTGGATTCAAGTGTGACAGGTTCCCCAAGGTTGAATAGGCCATCTTGAAGTAAAGGTGGCAGAAATTGCGGTGGCTGGCCGACAGTTACCGGTCGAACTGGCGTAAGCCGAATTGCGGGAGTGACATGAAGGACACCCATTGTAGAAGCCTGTCCAAGTGGATTAGTTGCAGTAACCATGACTGTGCCTGAATCATCTTGGAAGGTCTCCGAAATTACTAGATGACTAGTTAGTTCAGTTGTGGTAATCTGGAATCCGTCAAAAATGAAAGATTAGTCAAAGATGTCAGTATAAGTCTTAATAAAGAAAAAGAGACAAAAAAAATCGTGAAGCTTCTTCAAGTATCTACAATAGTCACGATTCGGTATCGAATTCCAATGGAAGTGTGGACGAGGAATGGTGAGACGAAGTCGAAACCTCAGTCCAGTCTGAATTAGATAGGCTTTTGAGAGCCAGAGTTAGGTAAAATTGAATGGTCTACTTACCTCATTGTAAGTAAAGTCAACTATCTGTCCTTAAATCCCCTTAAGCGACCTAGGGTGGCCAAGAGTTTATTAAACGCATTTTCCTTAAACAGGGCAAGCTATGGAGGTGTACACTGTCATTCACCAGGCTGATACAGTTAGGGCACTAGACCGGTACCACTCTAAGTCATCCTTCTTAGCGCGGCCAAGTCAGGACTAAGAGTCCTGCGAAAAGACCACTTCAGCTTGATTTACTTGATTGACACGACTTCCATCACAAGACAGTTATGCATTTCTGCGCAATTTTGCTCTGATGGTCATTGTCACTCCCCACAAGATGTTATTGCTTTGGCTTCATAGAGCTGGATACGCTTTCAGGAGAGGTAGCAAGACCAGATATCTTTATCTCTGGCAATCAGATGGCAGCCATCAAAGTACGCAAGACGAATGTATGCTTTCAGTAGAACAATATTCTAAGTCGACTTATTTTTAGGATAAAGCTGCTTCAATATGGCTCCAGGCTTTTGTTTCTCCCTGAGGTTTAGTCAGCTTAGGTACTAAAATGAGCATTTACAGTTTTTAGGAATTTCATTAGTCAAAATGACGAGACGTTATACATTGCGTACTAGTTTCATAAGCCCTTCTATACTTTATAGGCTAAAGTATAAAAGTAGAAGAATAAACACAAGAATAAGAGAAACACAAGAACCGAAGGTGGGCGTTAGCGCAAAGGAATAATGAGCATGAGGATTTTGAAATGGAGGATGAGAATAGGCAATAGAAAGATGGCTAAAAGAGAAATTCCAATAAAATAGACGGAGTGAACGATTATTTTTGCTTAAATGTATACTCACAGCTGATGGCTACCTTGTTTCTAATTTTAAATTAAAATGTTTTACCTAATAAAATGAAATTCCTCAAGGTATATATGCGCTAAATGTTATGCAGGAGGATAAGAACCTTATTACAACGGCTAAGCCATAAATTCGGATTGATTTATTGTGATAAGTGTTTTTATTTTCCTAATAATTTCATTTCAATTTCATGCATATTCAAACATAAAATTCCTGATATTCGTGAAGTGGTGACCAAGCTGAATTAGGAATAAGCAATTTCATTTTGCTGACATTCTGAACTACTATTTAAATGTACAGTTTTCCTAATGATTTAATCCATATTTGAGGTCTCCGAATAAAACCAAGACAAGGAGAACATCTGAGGCCGATACGGATTTTATCTAGAGCGTTAATTGGCAACTTTTCGAACAAAAGAAAGTGCATCCTGATTGCTCACTTTGTAGTCTGGGTTGGAGGAAATGTCAAGGCCGTTTCGGAACCACTTGATCTCGGCGGATGGTTCAGACTCAAATTCGACGTAGAGGCTAGAGAGAAATTATAAAAATATATAGGATAAGTGCACAAAATCAATGAATCTATGCTAAACTGCCGTGCAACTATACTAGGAATATGTCAAAAGTATTTACAACATTAACTGTATTAGCTCTAGGTCGCACATGTTGATGAAATATGATAGTTGAATTATCTCACAATGCTATAAGTGAGCATCACGGTGCTAGTGAATTTCGCTAGGCCTTAGCTTCCAAAAGTGATTTTCATATCATTCGGAGAAAATTTTGCTACCTAAGGTAAATAAAGTTCCTACTAAAGAGCTACTGGAGGTTTGGAAACCCACCCGGTCTGAGTAAATGAATTTGCATATTCGTGAAAGTAGAGCGCAATGCATGGTCAAACCTATGAGCTAAGCCACTGCAAAGGATGTTCGTTATTATATATCGGAAGTTTAGAAATTGCGGGCTAGTATGTACGCTTATATTCAAATTGAGTCGGTTTAGAAACTGCAAATTTTTTGATGTAATCTAAGCGACTCTACATATTTCTGCCAATATCTAATTCTGATTATTTGAAGAATAAAAGCTATGTTACTAGGAAGTGAGCATACATGAGAGAAGTATGCTACTTAAATTGTGTTGTAGGGGATTTTATGGCTTTGGGAAACAATTAAATAATTCTTCTAAATACATTTTATCTTTATTTATATTCAGGACTGTGTCAAGAACCACATTTTTGTAAGTCTACCCTGGTTCAGTTTGATGTAGCAATGCCTGTTGCTTAATCTAGCGATAGTTCATCGATGATGCTTTGTCTAGAACATTTGTTAAAAATCTTTGAGTTCCACTGTTAGGATAAGCTAAAAGGAACACAGCCTAATGTGGCAAATCATTTTTAAGAAAACTTTATAGTGGAAAATAACTAAAAATAATGCACTATCTTCATTATTTACGTAAGTCTAACATAACGTCAGCCTATTTGCTCCAGAGACTAAAACATTTAGGTTTTTTTCTCAGCAACTTGCCTAGGCAAGTTATGGATAGTATTAAATCTTTTGTGTGTTTAAGTTAGTTCAAGGGTATTAATATGCGAATTCCTTTAAAATTACTGCATAATTCAATGTATGAATGCCAATGAAGTTTGACTCTGTTCAAGAATATTTCATTTGGTTAGCTAGTGCTAAAATGTCAAATGAAGTTGACTGTTGTCTGAAAAAATGCTCTAAATTAGTCTATATTATAGGTTTGCCATTTATGTTAAGTATAATAGCCATATGCATATTAACTAAATTTCCCACATTTGGCCGGAAAACTGACTAAGGATGAAGAAAAATAAAGCATACAGCTTACTCGGCTAACGAGCCTTCAACGACCGTTGTTGGCTGAAGGGGTCTTGTGAAGTACGGAATTCTGCCTGACGGTGTAGCCGCTGGCATGATCTGGACCGCCTGAATGGGGGCCGCTTCCGGTAATGAACCTTGTATGAGTAAAGAGTTATGACAAATTAGTATTATGATTAATGTTTTTATGAATTATTATAAAGCGAGAGAGCAGAAATTACAGGTTTGTGGCAGGGGTGCTGAGGGACGGAGAAGAACAATTGCAATTTAAAATGGTTATGCTTCCCAAAAATGAAACATTTCTTATGTAAAATACTAACCCTTTACAAATTAGACCTTACAATATTTTTGCATAGTCAACGTTTGGTCATAATAATCGTACTTAAAATTTTAAGGAAGTGTAAATTTTGTCTATTTTAGAAAGTCGAATATAAGGTCGCCTCGTTCAAAATTTCAGCACCATAGATCCACATGTTCTCGTGTTTCGTTGCCTAAACATGGTCTCTATCAGTGTTTTTCGAAATACTCGTAATGTTCTAGGTTCAATGTAGAACCACGACATTCGGCGGCTGGCACACAAGATACTAGGACATAGGAATTCATAGACATGGTATTAGTGATAGAAACAGGATAGATGCGTTGGTGACTAGAGTTATTTGGTTAAAAATAGACGTGTTTGATCATACACATGATCCATGAAGCAAAGGCGCGACCATAAGAATTACTCGGGCTCTTTAGCCTCAAGTTAGTCTCCCAGCCAACTTAGGAATCCCAATTTGTAGGGGCCTACTCAACGAACCGGGAGTATGCGTGCCATCAAAGGCTTGAAACGATGTAGGAAATAACGCTTCAACTAGTACAGAAAGAATGGCAGGGTTCGAGTGGAATACCTGAAACAGGAAGATAAAAAGCGGATCATACAGGGAAAGAGGGAGGTGGATAAGACTTATGGGAAGGGGTGAAAAAACCGTGTGGGGTTCGGAGAGTTCATATGAGATCCGCTAAAAAAAGGGCACACCAAGCCCCATTTAAATAAGCAATTAAGAAATTGTGATAATGAATTGATACGAGGATATAGGATTGGTGAATAGCCCATGGCAGAAGGAGAGATCCCACAATCATTTAGCCGACAATTTGTCAAAGGATCGGCTTCCCTTGTCCCTTTAATGAGTTGTAGTGGGGTGCTATGAGTGGCGAGGCGCATTAACGATGAAGACTACGATGCCGGCAAAACTTCTGGGAATGTACCACGTACACTATCCGATTCTGGAAATCATCATACATGCTATGGACTCCGGACTAGGTGCGTTCCTCTAGGTCTTACTGTCAATATGAGCAAGTTGCGAAAACAAGGTCAAACAACTTCTATACAACGAAAGAGTCTGCGACCATACAAAGGGCCACTCAATCTTGGTCTTCATACCTTCGAATAAAATGATTTAACTCTAAAAACTCAACAAGCTTTTATGAAAGGCAATAAGTTTTAGCATAAAACGTGTGATTAAAATCAAAAATATTATGCAAATTTCGCGGAAGTCTTTAGCCAATACGATAAAACCAGACTTTCTAAATCGAGGCAACAGTTACAGATTTTGTATAGTATATAAGTAGTCGATTGTAGTAATGGCCGAGTGGTTAACGTGTCAAGCTCACATGTTGCACTGTCACGGTTTGACTTCCGCTGGGGATTTTGATACGACCTATGCGAGGTCGAAACAGCGGTCCGCCCTGGATGAGAACAACTTTTAGGAAAGCAAGGCGTCAACTCTACTCATATCATTGTGGGAAAATTCTACTACCAGTCCTCCATCACCCTACACGAAATTCGCTGAATTATCTGATATAGATTATGCTTGCCTTAAATCTTATGTATAAATATATATATATATAGTTAATAAAATTAACTTATTTGTATGCTATTTTTATTTCATCATTAAATTTATCTATTAAACTAATAAGAATTTGAAGTAAGTTTATACAAGTTTTGAAGGGCATTTCTGTGAGACCTCTGTAGCGGCATGTCTCTTCAATACGTCTGTTCAGAGCTTAATTTTGTCGTGTAGTAAAGTTTTCACGGACTATTTGACCCAGACTCATGGTAAAACAATTCTTCGCTTAGACAAGCAGTTAGCAAACCATCCTGTTACAGTGTTTATAGCTTAAAGGTTTATGTGAAGTTATCCTTTGCCGTCCACATGGCAGTAGTATCATGCGGAATTCATTTAATGTCGTATGTCCTGCTAACTACCTGGAATTGGCAACAAGCTGACAGAATTTATGCACATACCATCTTAACTTCCTATTCCTGATCTAATAAAAAATAAAACTTTCTCGGACTCAAGTAGATCATCACAACGCTGATGAGTTTAGTTGATAAAATGAAGTTTGCAAGCACAACTTACGTCGGACTGGTCTGAGTTGTGCTCTCAAGTCTTGGACCGGGACGACCTCAAGAGTAACCGTTGCAGAGGTGGAGTTCTCCGGTGAAGAGTCTACGATCTCACGAGGCATATCAGAGCGTCTAGCTATAACCAAAATTTGGCCTGATTCATCTGGCCGACATTTGCGCATCTCCAAATGGTGCATGAGTCCGTCGAAACGTGCCTGGTGAGGTCGGATGCTTTGTTCACTTTCTTCCTTTTCTGAGGGGGATACCAACTCGCCAACATTGGGCACAGGTTGGCCGTTTATGTACCAAGTGACATTTGCTGGAGGCTTGGCCAAAACATGACAAGTGAAGCGAACTGACTCGTTCTCGTTGATGCGCGCACTTTGAGGCGGTCGTATGAGGATGGGAACTGGTCCAGGTTCTTCGACCGATCTGTCGATAAAAAAATGAAGAAGGCCAATACTTATGAGCTGTTGCAATGTAAATGACAATTTTGTGGAATAAGGACTTTATATGTAATAAATGCCTCATATGGAAAGAATTTTTTTCTATCTTTTATTATATCCTTAAGCATTTGAATAGTGAACCATTCTGAGAAGAAGCTTACATAAAGTAATCGTAATTTTACATGACAAATACAAGCCCTCAGCATAAAAACTTACATACATATGTGTTAAAGACACCTGTGAAGTCAGGAACAGTTTACAGGAACAGTAAAACTTGACTAGTGAATGCCTTATTTTAAATCAATCATTCACTTCGTCGAAGCAATAACAAAGGTTTTAGCATACCCAAACATACAAATACGGCATTCACGATAGTACAGGGAGGTGTCATGCAATCTGAGGCTGAAAAATGCATAGTCATCAATTGTGTGCTTAGCGTTAATCGCATTATTAATTAGAATATGCCATTATCAATACTACAAATTAAAATTGCCAAGACTACTACTAACATTGCTGATCGAAAATCGTAGTCTAAGTAACCTGATTGTACAAGATATAAAGAATTATGCTATTGCAAAAAATTTAAATTATAGGCAATAAATCCTTCATAATGGATGCCAATGAAAGATGAAATTAATAAAAAAGAATATTTTCTCCATGTTTTATAGCAGATATGAGGGGTAACGAGGGTTCAGTGAATCTTCTGAAATAACATTATTGTTGGGATTTTTATTTCGTATGAAAGTGTATGAAGAAGAGATTCGAAGGTCAATCTCACCATAAGAGGACGGTTGAATTCAGCTGTACTGTAGCCATTTGGCTTGTATATAACGTTGAGATTGATCCCAACAATAATGTTTTATAGCATATATGCAAAGATATAAATATCATAGTTATGAAGATCCATCCAAGCGATGATCGCTCCAAACGCAGACCTGATCTTTAGAGCCCGCTGGCACCAAGCAACTATCCTGCTTTACACAAAAAAATATGATTCCCATGGATATTCTATCCTTCCGATGCCGCAAAGAAAAATTAGTCCATTCATTTAGATCTTCTTACTGCACTGTGGTCATGAGACCCAGAAGAGCATTGTATATTCTCAATAGATTAATAATGATCCAATAAATATTTCACTTATGATTATTTTGTTGTGCCAAAAATACTCACTTGATGGCAGCCGAGGATTCAGTTAGTAGCGTAGGTGTCCTGAAACGTAAGAAGAAGCTAATAAGTAATTTTGATAAATATTTAATTTTCTGTGAATTATATCGGTTTTTGCATAAAGTTTAGCTTTAATCTCTTAAACGTAGAAGGGAATTTTGATTAATCATTTAACCTCCAAAATACCTAAATGAAAAGAATTGTCTTCTTAGATAACTTAAGGTGACGTAATGGCTCATATTTGTGCTTCCCACAATAAAGTGAGTAGATCCTGAATAGAATATTCCGATAAAATTGAAGCATATTAATGAGGAAAAAAGTACAGTATTCTATATTAATGAAAAATAGACGTTTTCCTCATTAATATCCTCACTAACGTTTTTTGGAAGAGTCCTAGCATGCCTTTAAAGTCAGGTTTGCTCTTTTGTTTGGTTTATACGAAGGCTTTCAAGGCAACCAGTACATCATATATATGAAATTCATTCATCCAATTTCGTTTAGGGTGATAAAGAGACTGGTAGTTTCCATTGAATTTCACATAGCCTTGCTTTCCCAAAAGTTATTCTTATCCAAGGTGGACTGCAGTTTCGACCTCGCATAGGTCTTATCATCCTCCCCAGCGGGCAGCTTGACACGTGACCCACTAGGCCACATTTACACGAGTGTCCTTGCATCACAGAACAGAAGTAAATTTTAAGGAAGGATAGGTATTTTTCCATTCACCTACTAGTCTCCTTATTACCCTAAACGAAATAGACTAAATAGATCTAATATATATGATCTACTGGTGGTATCCAAAGCCTACTTATAAACGAAAAATAAGTAACGTAGTCGATTGCTGTGACAAACACAACTTTGCTTCATCGACAATCCCACAAAAGAATGTGATAGGGGTTAATTCCTGGTCTTCCTTATATTTCACATCTGCCCTCTGACCCAAGGGAACTCATGGCAACGTGGCATAGTGATTAACGCGTCGAGGTTGTATGCTGCCTCGTCATGGTTCGAACCCCGCTGGGGATTTTGATAAGACCTAGGCGAGGTCGAATCTGCACTCTCCCCTGAATGAGAATACCGTAAGGGGAGGCAAAGCTTGTGAAATTCTATGGAAACGTCATGTCTACTCGTACCATTGTGAGGATGAATACATCTGATTGATTTACTCTTTAAATGATATGCACATGTTACTATGTAAAAAGTGATAATATGTCTCCACATTTGTGCAAGATCCTATTTATAATCCCTTTGGGGAGTTAATTAGATTGGGCGAGGTTGAAACTGCAGTCCAGCCTTGATAAAAAAAATCTTGTGGCGGTAAAGCTAAGTTAAACTTTAATGTTTTCGAATGGTAGGAAATTCAGCTGTTACTCCTTGCATCACATCAAGCAATCCAGAGTGATTAAAATTTATATTCAAGGACGACCGTAATCTCGAAACCTAATTATGTAAAATGCGTTGTTTGCTTTTTAAGTATCAGTAGGTAAAATTAATTAGGCTATGCTTACATGTCAACTGAGGGCTTTTTCTTCGGTATGATCACTTTCGGCGTAGGTTCTTTCTGTATTGGTCTTTCAACTGAAAATAAGTGAATCAAATATTAAGAATTATTTTTATTTAGCTTTACCAATCGAATACAGTCTATGTTCAAAGGCTCTAATAATGTTTTTATGACCATTTTCCCCTCTTAGCTATGCAGACGTGATATGACCTTATCTTCGCAAAATGGTGATTTCCCAAGTTTATTCTGCAG